AAAAGAAAATGCCTTATCGGCATAAATGTGAGACACAGGATAAACCACCTTTCAATGTCTCATTTATGAAATTCACCCTGCTGGTTTTGAATGAGTGCACTGCAAACAATGCACGAGTGACTACAGGAAGGTACATTTGGTGTTTGCACTCATTCGACACGGCATAGTAAACTTTGGAGCAGAGAGAAAACGAGTAGACTAACATAAAAACAACATCTACACAGTATGTTGGTTCCATTAGTGACCAATCTGTCATTTTCGTTACACTTTAGAAATATGCAAATATCGAATGTATTTCAGGATTAAAAAAAATATATAACAAACCCCTCCTGTAATGAGCCTGACATACAATATGTTCCTTATGTGCAATTTTTATCTAAAGATCTGAAATGTGGGAGGTAATTGCTTCACACACATTTTTACGATTTGGCTTTTCAAAGGACATTTGAGACTGCAAGACAGCAAATTCCTACTAGAATTCTCACAAAATTTAGGTCCGATTTTGCTCCCACTGAGACCAACGGCAAGATGCCATTCAAAGATGATGGGAATAAGCCCTATGTCTGGTAAAAAGGATTCCAAAATATAATTTGCTGTATAAAACAAGCTTTTATCAAAAATGTTTTTCAACAAAAATGCACGTAATCCCATAAATATATTCCAGTATGAAAAAGTAAATTAAGGTGTCTGGGTCAAAACTGCAGAGCCAAGATACTGAAAATACTGGTTGGCACTCCCCTATGTAGAACTACTTCTACACATGCTACACAATAAACTCTTCTACTGCGTTGTGATTTCCTATAGTTAAACAGGGGAAGTTAAAGTCACATTCCTTCATTTTTTTTAATCCTAAAATCCCTTGTTTTTCTAAATAGACTGTTCATGTTATCTTAGGCAGTTTTGTGCTATTGTACATCACTGTCATGTTGCTTAACACACATTTCAAAACAAATACAATATTTTGCTACGGAAAAAAAAGCTACATTTTTGTAGCTACAATATCCCCAATATTTGAAGTTAACGGCGTTCAACACCTTTCCGAACCAGGCCATTCCCACTGAAGTCCAGTTATCAACAACTTGCTCCACCTACACAGATGCTCAAGGTCCTCTGGCTCCTCGCTGACTTCAGTGGAGTTCTGCAAGTAGTTTGGGTATAGACATGTGAGCAGCAGGTTACTGCCAAACTCAATTTCTGTGGCTGCTCTGTGTCCAGTTAGCGCTCTCTTATCCCACATCCAGCATCAGGCACAATGAGGTACAAGCACACAACCTCTTAGCGGGAAGCAGCCCGTGCCCACAGCCTAGCTTCCGTTACAGTAGCTTTCGTGTCCATTGCCCAAGCTGCTATCAGGACTTTCACCTCAATTGTGACCTAAGTCTATAGAAAGGTGAATGCGCTTAATCTTAGAAACACTTCGGGCTGAGATTTCAGAAGCCTAGACTTTATAAACAGACCCTCGTTTTTGCAGGCACATGTAATAAATGGCTTTCTAATAAATCCAGTTTCCAAATTTTGCTTCTGTTTGTTGCCCATGCTGGTGCCCGATTGCTAAAATGGATCTCTCGGCAAACGAAAAGGGACCTGCACATATAAATGGTATCCATTCTGCACCCACTCCCAACGTTGCGCAGTAATCACTGGGTAGCTGGTTCTGAGATTCTTTTAAAGTATGCAAACTAGTTTTGCAAGTTTGTAACCAAGTTACAATTAAGGTAGAAATACTTTGTATTTGTGAAACAAGCTTAAATATATGTAGTAAAGAACAAGTTCATCCTTAAAGGATATTACAATAATTCATAAAACTTCCAAATTAAATCCATAGGGTTCTATTGTGTAAAATACATCCAAATACTGCCTGAAGTATTCTCAATAGTGATAATAAAACCCCTCCATACTCCTCAGATTTTTCAACTATACTGAATAGCACATGTATTTTTCAATTATTTTTTAAATGTATTGAGCTTTCTGTGTTTCACTGGGTGTTTTGAACTGCTGATTAAACTTAACCAATACCAATCAATATTTTTAGGTCCCTTTGTTTCAAAAGTAGATCCTTCATTTTACATGATGAGAAATCTTCTGAAAAAAAAACGCCAGATCCCCTTGTGGTGTGTTATTTCACAGTTTAAAAACAAAATCACAGCTACTGTAGCTTACAGCAGGGTGCACTGCAAAAGCAAAATAATTTGGGATGGGAGGAGGAGTGGTATAGCCAGCACCAGTCAAGCAGTTCAGCAAAAACTTAAATTTGGGCTGGAAATTTTTCCCCTTAACAATCTTGTGTTTGGTTCCTGAACAGCCTAAAGTAGGACGTTAAATACAATGACTTTTGTTCTCCCTCTATATATAGTATATTTTCAACTTCATTGTTTGAATACTGAGATATACATTTTAAAAGTCAAATACAGTACTTAAGGGGGAAGCAGGTAGTAGGCTTTTTCACAATTAAAATACTTTGTTAGCGAATCTGACCTACTTCTGTTTGTGCTGCCACCTGAGTTAATCGCCTGTATTATTTTGATGGTTAACCTGTTCAAGTTGGATGTTTTTCACAGATGACTACATCAGGGACTCTTCATCATCTCCAAGAGCCCTTTTCTTGACAGGTACTTATTTTTATCCACATTAAGTTTGCAGAAGACTTTTAAAAGCCCCACCTTGAAAAATCTCTTGAACATAGAAAGGTGGATAAGTTCTTTAATTCATTTCCACAGATGAAAGGTTTCTTTCAAAACCCCATCTGTTTTTTACTTAAGAAAATGGAAAAACTTCTAAGGTATTAAAAATGTAAACGTAACTTTTCTTGCAGGGGTATAACTGGTGTGTGTATATATATATATATATATGTATTTCTCTGCTATATGTTAATATTCCTTGAAAACTGAACATACTTTTCTCATTCATATCAATGTGTCCTAGCAAGTTTTATTTTAATGGTACTGTAGCATTACTCTGAAGCTCTTTTTCATTCTGGTATTTTCTGAGATAGCTGACATTAGTACTTTCTATTGCATTTTATGTAATTAATTTTACATAAATTTTTGCTACCTTTTAAAATATGTTCAACTCATTCTCCAGTAATATTCCTACAGAAGTCTGTTATAACCTAAACTTCAAATTTTCAGGAGTTAAGAAATGCTTCTATTTTTATGAATGAGTTAGATTTTCAAAATTTAAAGTATCTGTGCATGAATCACCAGTTCCACACATTTCAATAATAATAAAAGTAATGCCAATTTAAAAACTCGAAATTCAGTTACAGATTTGGTTGAGAAGCAGCTGAAGGGCTTCAAAATCACATAAGGTGTGTGGGTGTATGTGTGTATGTTCTGTAGTTTTGTTTCTATAGTGTTTACGTCCTATTGAAGTTTATATAATGATACTTCAGTTCAAAACATTTGGGACCGTCTCATCCATTTTCTTGCATCTTTCTCAGTATCTGTTGAAAGAAAAGAAACAATGTTATGCAGATGACCAAGCAGATACAAAAAGAGTATCTGCTAAATACCCTTTGGTCAGCTTGAACAACAACAACAACAAACAATAATAGAAATGTTTTTTCCTCACCCTGCATGAATACATTTACTGGGTAACATTTACAGAGGTAAGATGGGGAAGCTAAAAGCTAGAGCCCTGAAGCCTAAATCTCCCTCCCACATGAATGTGAGAAGAAGTGATCCTAGAGGTACCAATTAGTCAGTCCTGTTCCACAGAAATGCTTTAGAAGCCCCTGCCACAGGTCCACCAAAAATAACCGCTCACGGCCTGTAGGACTCCTGTTGTTCTTTGTCCTCCGTTTCCTGCAAGTCTGACCATGGCACGGCAAGAACAAATAGAGGATTTTGCTCAAGCCATTTCACCTGTCACATTTATGACCAAAGCGTAATGATAAATACAGATCTCCACGCTGGCGTGAAAAAAATGTTTCTCATTTTAGCCTCAGTTAACTACTGGCTTCCTAATACAAAGTAAGGAGTTAATATCTGAAAGGCTAATTAAGCGATAGGCACATTAATTCAGTACGTTTGTTTCTCTGATGCTGTTATAGCAGACTATACTGGTCATTTATTTTACTTTTCATTTCCTGCTCTGGAATTTATCTCGCATGAACCTCCATACAATGTTAATACTCACTCCTTACACAATCCAAATGAAACCACTTGATAAATATTTTGTATAAGCAACTAATGCGTTATCCTGAGAACTGCTTACCTCTGGGTTACAGAAGACTGATTATTTTTGTGTGTGTGTTTCACAGATACTAAGCTACAGTACATCTACCGTGAGAGCATTCATTAATTAAATTTGCCTTTTTGGAGGAAAAAAAAAAAAGGCATAATTGTGGTATTCTTTAAACTTTTAAAGAATAAACTGTGAATGGAGTGTGTCTGAAGAACTGTTTCAGGGAGGATGGCTGCTGTCTCAGCAGGAGCAAAGTAACATACATGTGTGGGATTTTGCAGAATGTTTTAAGAGCTCTATAACTGCTCAACAGTTCTGTGTGGATGCTATAAACAGGAATTGAATGAGCGCAGAAAGGTTTTAGTGCAAATACAAAGAAGGCGTGAGCCAGAGGTAGTTATCCAGCAGCTCAGACAGTAGCAGTGATTTTGAAAGTGCTGCTGTATTTCCTGATGGCACAACTGCAAGAGCAAGATTCTCACTTACGATTGTTTTTCAAGCCTAAATGTTTTTTTAAAATCAGTGCTAGCCTTGCGGAAAAAGTTTAATTACCAGAGGTCAGGGTTTGAAAGCTGTGCAGTTATCTGTTCCCATTATTCCTGCCAAAAAAGACCTTTTAAAAAGCACCATCTGAATTTTGAATTAACACACGAGATCCTGAAACCCAAGAAACAACATACTGAAAAAACTGGTATCACTAGAATTAACGGTGAGTGTTATTTTGTCAATATAAAGTAAATCTCTAAGCTTTATAAATCTGTTTGTCAACTTTAGTACTATGAATACAAAACAGTTGCAAAGACAAAGGAATGTACTTACGGTGAAATTGTACAGCCAGAGGCGTATGCATGGTGGCCTGTATAGCGTATATCACAGCGTACTATATTGTTGGAGTAATCGGATTCAGGCACCAAATAGCTGGGGTTTACACTCACCTTAAGAGGAGAAAGCACAGTGTTGTCTACTTCTAGATTTGAGTTGATAACATAAGATTTGTTTCTTTAAAAAACAACAACAACAACAACAAAAAAAACCAAATCTCCCCACTCCCAATACCCTTACCTTCAGAATGTAATTTCCAGGTTTTACATCTGTAATATCAATCCACTGGCAATCTATATCAGCATTGTAAGTGTCATAGCAGCCAGGGCTCAGTCCCTTAAAAATGAAGTTAAGATGGATATCAAAAAAACATTAGGGATAGTAATACTCTAGACATACGGGACACTCAGACTGAAGTTCACTTAACCATCACGTTTCACTAAGAAAATTATCTCAGGAAATGAGGCTTATTTTTTCTTGGCATTTTGTTTGAATATCTAGACTAGGATATGTAAAGCCTAACATATCAGTTTTATAGGCAGCATTGTATTACTGCTGCTTGAGAAACACCTTCACTGTTGATCATCTGTAAGATATCTGTATTTTAGTATCACTTGTTACAGTACTCCTTTTATGTAAATATCGTTGATGCTATTACTCACTGTTCTTTACAGAAGATGAGAGTAAAATCAAAAATGACTGAAGGCTGGACCTAAATATCTGTAAATCTCAGGTAAATAGCTTCTGAGGTCCTTGAGTACAAACTTGATAACCTCTCTCTACCCTTAGGAATGATGCAACTTTTTGCTATAGAGGTACTCTGCCAAAGTGCCATCTTTGAATAGTGGAGTCTAAGGTCATTTTCATATTGAGTTTTGCACAGAAATGGCATCTCTTCCAGCAAAGAGTGACACAAGAATCTGAGAGAACTGAAAATGTAGCCTTGCTTCCTGAGGAATATTTTCTGAAAACATCTTCGCTGTTAGGAACATTAGTGAGAACCTCCATATATGAATGTATCAGTGGTTCAAATCTGGTGTCTTTAACTGTGGCCAATACAAATCGCTGTAGGCAAAGCTGATCTGTTCTGGTGACACAGAGAGTGAACAAAACCCAAGTCTTGCAGGAATTCCCTCTTGACCCAGCTGGTGATCAGCTCAGACTCTTGCATATATGTGCCAAGTCTGAGGCTGAAGGAAAGTTTTACAGTCCAATTACAAACCCCTGAAATATGGGCTTCCAGTGGAAACGCTGACACAGCCATGATTCTAGTGGCACAAATACTCCAGCTGTAAAATATGTATGTTGCTTAGTTAGATGTCATAGACTACAGAAGGAAAAAAGATATTTATAAAACCTCTTCAAAGCCTTTATGTATTGCAGATCATTCATTATATTTAAAATTCAAATGTGGACACGTCAGCCAGTGAAGCATAGCTGTCATTTCTCTGTGATAAAATAACTACCTCCTAGATTAAAAACTGCAGAATAAGGGATACACGTTTATGTATAAGTATGGTCACATTGAGTTAAACCACAGATCCATCAACTTCAGTGTTGTATCTCTGCCAGTGGTCAGCAGCAGAAGCTTGAGGAGAAAAGAACGTAGGAAATGAGATGTGTAATATCCTTTACCCAGGCAAATTCCTTCCACCAGGCATTTAACTGTATTTAAGACACGGGGTACCATAGGATTTTTGTGTTTAATAGCCTCCATTACTTTGTGTAAATTTTTTTTGAACCCATGTAGATATTTTTGGACTATGCAACATCATATGGAAAGGAATTTAATATTTTATTCATGTGTCAAAAGACCACTCCTCTCTGTTTTAAAGCTGTTTTCTGAGAGTTCTTTCGGATATCCTTGAATGCTTGTACTGTGACACAGCTCAGACTCCATGCAATATTCAAGGTACAAGATTATCACGGATTTGCATACTATAACGGTACATTTCATTTTTTTATCTATCCCCTTAATAAGCCCGAACACCTTGCTTTACATTTGTGTATGACCCATCATAATGTTCACAGGGCTGCCACTCTCTTTAACAGCCTTCTACACATGCATAAAATTATGCTGTAAGTTTTCTGTGTAGGACTGCCAGCTGGTAGCTACAGGTATTAAGGGAATCCAGCACCTTGCAGTCTCATGCTCTGCATGGGAGAAATACTAGCTATGAACTCTGGGGCCAGCCAGGGACGTCGCTGAGCAGTTTGTGGGGGATGAACACTGGAAATGACTTCTTTACTGACTCTGTCTTGAATTCCCTTTAGCTCACTTGACCAGTCTTACAACCACAGGAACCTGTCATGTGTTTTAATATAGTTCAGTTACCAGTGATGCTAGGCTAATGAGTGTCCCTGCATTTTTCAAGACACCCACATTTCACAGCACCTGAGTAAATTATAAATCTCCCAGTTGCTATCCTGGCCTCTATGATGGAGAATGTCAGAGCTAGTTAGGGCATCAGATAATTTAGAGCATCAGACTACTAGTAGAAGAAATATCCAAAGATAAATTAGAAGCGAAAAGCCCTTCGGGGAAAACCACACCAGCTCTTACCTGTGTATGCGCTGTACATGCGTACCGTCTATAATATCCGTAATCACAGGAGGTATCTTCAAGACAGAAACTTGCTTTGTGTCCTTCAGCAACTTTTCTGTGTGAGCTTGCATCCAACAAGTCATAGTGGCTGAATTCATCCATGCTGTGATAATGCCTGTTAAACCCAAGAAACATTATTAAAGATCGTGTCAAATAATATTTTAACATATTCCTATTTGATCTACCTTCTGTTAGATCTCTCCAAATTTTATTTATTACACAGAACTTGTGTGTTAGTATACTTTCCTATTACTGGCTGTTCAATTGCGTTTTATTTTCATTATTCTGATTTTCAGTGACTATAAAAATGCCACCTTCTGTAAATAAAGAACAGATTTTAATTTGTTAAGGGAAAGACTTCATAGCAGCAGTTTTTCCAAAATTCCCTGTTTCAGCGCTTCTCCAATAACAACAGCAAGTATTAAGTAGTTCATATTCGAATTGTACATCTTATAACTGCCTTTAGACAGAGTTTCCCTAGGAATGCTTACCTTACGTACTATGAATTCCAGGGAAGTTTGCTATTTGCTAGCAAAACCTCAACAATTTACGTTCACATCTCCATGGCCCTCCATCAATGTAACACGTTCATAGCACTAGTGAAAACAAAACCTACACAGCTTCTCTGTACTGGCAATGCAAATTCATGTCAACGATTTTTGTAGCCTATACTTAATGTAGTCTCTGTTTCAAAAGTGTGTGTGCTGTTGATCTGGGCACAGTAATACATTTTTCCTGCTCTCATACAAAGTGAATTCTAGCTCTTACTGTGGACTTGAACACCTATTATTCTTGCAATTTTTCCAAACACATGGAAAATGAAACTTAAGTATTATCTACCTGCACTTCATGCAGCATTTGGCTGCTGTCACTTATGAATGCTTTCAGCTCAAGAGGTATATTTAAAAAATATAAATAAACAGAATTCACATGTATTGTTAAAACAAAGAGGAGCACACAACTCTCACAAGCATGCACGTCAAGAACACTAAAACCAGTCTACAAATGATGAGTAACAGTGAAGTCTGATGGCTAGCCAAACTAATTGGCAGTTGTAGTTCATTTCCAAAATGAGCTTGTTTCACTGTCGTGGAAATGATCACCAAAAATGCTTTTTTTTTGTAGGCAATGTATATTCTGTCCAAGAACTGAATCAACATCAGAGACACTTTGCATCTGGCTATCATGGCATAGTAAGAAACTGCTTTTCTACAAATAGAAGATTTCAGTTGCTCTCTATCCGTTTCATCCACTTATCAACTTTGTAAGCACCAGGGTTGTGGGTTTTTTTTGGTGGTGGTGGTGGTTTTTTTCAGGAGTGCGGGTTAACTAAAGCATTTATGGAGGCTTTTTTTGTTTGGTTTGATGTAGTTTTAGTTTTTTGATCCTTACAAGATTTATAAACTATTAATATCAGTCTTTTTTTTAAAGAATTTGATCTAATGATACTGATTCAAAGCTTAAAGCCTCTGAAGCTAAAGAGAAATATTCCATTAACTCCAGGGGCCTTTAGATCAAGACCACATTATGTATTATTTTTTAACAGAATAATATTATCACTTTTGCCCCCAGAACACCAGAATTGTATTTTAAGGTGGAAGTAAGGTAAGCTTTCTAGTATTTCACAATCAGTCCTGCTATGAAACAGCGAAAATTGGAATAAACCTGCAAACTGTTGCATGTGACTTTTCTGAAAAAGTACGAGTTTGCAGTGTTACCTGCTCCCAAAACGTTGAAAATATTCTATTACATTTGCCTTGCCCTGTTTCCAGTAATTCTGCTATTTCTAGAGCAATACTGCTATGTGAAAGTATCATGATATGATAAGGATATTGATAATGGGATCAGACAACTTACTATCTTCTCTTTTCCATGTTGACTAGACCTTGTCAAGAACTAACCCTTGAAATTCAGGTCAAGAAATATGGGTCAATGTTTACGGTGATGTACTATAAGGAACATGCTAGTAAATGTACATTTTAGGGTTTCTACAGTTATTTTAACATGATGGGGGCTTTTATTTACTGATTCCACTTAGATGTAACGGGACTATAACCTATATAAAATCTACTTAGAGGGAGACGGTGCCACTGTCAAAACTGATTCGAGACCTGTATTTATAATGAATTTATACTTGTAAGAGTTTTATACTTACAGATAAGCTTTATATCCACTTTTTTTTTCATGTGGCTATATAAAGAGTAATTACCACTACCATAAAATTAATCAGACAGTAATAGGCTAAAGTTTCCCCATGGCTTCCCCCCCACTTCACTGCAGTTTTAGAAAATGTCACGTGTTAAGTGACAATGTGTTAGTGAAAAAGATAATTAGAAAGTACCATACTGAGTACTTCACTCACTGGTGACAGCTGTGCCACTCCCATGAATAACGGGGTCTGCTGGGCAGAAAATCTGACGTGCCTTGATTTTTCACTCTTTGTGGGAATCTCAGGAGCACCCGATTGTCATAGTCTCTAACGTCTGCTCGATAAGCTGAACTGTAATAGTGCAAAAAAGAGCTGTAAGTACATGCAAGAAATACTTTAAAACAACACTTTATATTGTCTCAGAAGTAACTGATACAGCACGGTTCTTTCCAGCCCCCTTAAAAGTCAAGCATTGGAGACACACAACAATTCCACACGCTGTGCTCAGAAGCGCCTGGTGTGAGACCAAGACCTGAGTTAGATTCAGATCTGCTTATAGTCATATACACAGGAGTTTGGCCACTGACTCTCTGCCTCTGTCTCTGAAGCAGATCACTGCGTAGCTGTAAAATTACTCTGGTACCAAAAATACAATTTCATTAGTTGCCGTTAACCAAAATTACTCACTGTGTATGTACGATTACACAACAGATGTTTCTTTCTATTGTAAAAAAAAAAGGAATAAATACATGCCTCAGGCTATATTTTCCTGTTTCACATAGCTACTATCTATGGTCTTGTAAATACTGGAATATTTAACTCAATCGATAGCCAGCAAGAACATTTCAATTAGTCTTCACTGTAAAGTCAGCAAAAAAATACTGTTTCTTATGCCATATTCTCTCTTTCCAGCAAGTGAAGAAAGAGCATGACCTTGGAAACAGTCTGACATCAATTAATGATGCTGGTAAATAAATAAATCTGGTTTGCATGATAAGGTATCAAACTTAAGTTAAAATGGTTAAAAACAGCCACGTTGATTGCTTTCCAAACAAAACAGGAAAAATCCCTCTTTGCCAACTGGACAGGACCTAACTTCATAGCAAAATTGTTATTTCAAGCCTTTGAAAGACTTTGAAACACTTTTCAGGAAGATTTTAGTCTTAAGAGACATTACAAGGCATAGGCTCAGAAACAATTAGCATGTTAAATTTTAATAGTAACTTATGCTAGTTTAGAATAGGTTTTTCTTTCTTTTTAAATGGAGTAGAATATGATCTGGCTGGCTTAGAGGAGGGAGATGAGAATCACCAGATTGAAGTGGTTTTTCTAGGTGCCTCCATTTTGCAAAATTCAGATATGTTCAAATGAGCCTGGTAATAGAAATGTGCAATATAACTTTCCACAAAATGTAGGTTCTTCAAAGCAGCTGTAGTTTGTCTCTCTAATATGGTGGTATCGTTGTCTTACGTGCACACTCTACCATCTGCCACAGGCTTAGACTGGGCTGTTTCCTCGGGCCCTCCAGCCCCACTTTTCTCCACTCTTCACCGTGTCCTCAGGTCCTCTGCGGTGGGCACAGGAGCACAAGAACCCACAACCAACGGGCGAAAGCCAAGGTGATGCCTACCTTGCCAGGCAGTTCTCCTCGGCAGCACATCTCAAGTTATACATGGACATCCTCTGGACATATGTGGACGCCTGGATGTAATAGGGATCCGGGACTAAGTCAGGGAGACCTGCAGTTCATCAAACCAACCACATAACAGCAAGATCAACCCAGGACACGTCTGCAAATACTTGGCTTCCATCCCAATCGTTAGGAGCCGTCGTTTCTCCACGCACCCCTGCCCCCCATTAACCTCGCTCTCCCTTTTGCTCGGGCCCTTCGGCTTCTCTCCAAGACCGCATCACGAGCACGACGCCCGGACTCCCGGGCTTAGGCTTCCCGCCGTGCTCCCCGCAGATC